CTCCTCACCGCTGCATTGGAAGACGTTTTCAAGCTTCTGGACTGGAAAGGATACGGTATTAACATGGCGAGTACATCACTCACCTTCGATTTGCCGACGATATAGTCCTTATGGCAGAATCGCTGGAGGACCTAAGCACCATGCTCAATGACCTCAATAGTGTCTCCCAACGAATAGGTCTTAAGATGAACATGGACAAAACAAAGATCATTGATCAAGAGATATTAAAAATATTACTACACTGAAAGTACTATACGATGCTCTAGTCAGGAGTCACTTGGAGTACGGTGCTGTTATATGGGCTCCGCATGAAGAAAAGTACAGCCTAATGCTAGAACGTGTCCAAAACAAATTTATGAGGCACATATACTTCAAACTGTATGGGGTATATCCGTTTTACCCTTTGAGGTACCCCACATTGTTCGTGCTCGGGATGGTCGGGTACAACCAGCTCAGAGTAAGACGGGAGTTTGCCCTGGCTACACAAGTAGTGAAGTTGCTTCGTGGCGCCACATGCAACCCGGGGTTGTTGCGCCACCTGCAGCTGTGCACACCGGACCGGTACTTGTGGAGGCGACGCCGCCCGCCGCTGCTCGCGGTGCCCGTGGCTAGGACCAATTTGCTTAATAACTCACCTATAGTCCGATCAATCCTAGTAGTGAATAAAGTTCATGAGAGGATTGACATATTTTCGAGTAATCTAAGTGAACTCGCTAAGGTACTTTTATACATAGTTAGTTATGTAAGTTAGTTGTAATACATACATATAGTATATTTAAGTAAATTAGTGACACTATCGTATTGGGTTTGTTTAGCCTGTAAGGATAGTTGTTAAGTGTGTGTGTGTGTGTGTGTAAATAAATAAATAAATCATGTTTAATGTCCATGTCACACCTATGCCGGTAGTTGTTGGGAGCACTAAGCTCGAAGTTGTTGACGAGTATATACCTGGGACAAATAGTCCGACTAGGTAAGTCCAACTTCGACCGAGAGGTCAATCGACGGATTCAACTCGGCTGGGCAGAGTTCGGGAAACTACGACACATTTTCTCGTTAGACATATCTCAAAACCTGAAAACGAAATTATACATCCAGTGCGTGTTGCCAGTGATGACTTACGGATCTGAGACGTGGTCCTTCCCTGCTGGCCGTATGAGGAAGCTGAAGGTCGCTCAGCGAGCTATGGAGAGGGCTATGCTCGGGGTTTCTGTGCGTGATAAACTTAAAAATGAGTATATCCGCAGTAGAACCAGAGTAACCGACATAGCCCAACGGATTAGTGAGCTGAAGTGGCAGTGGGCCGGCCATATAGCTCAAAAACCCGACAACCGATGGGGAAGAAAGGTTCTTGAGTGGCAGCCTCGTACCGGTAGGCGAAGTGTAGGGCGACCCCCCACGAGATGTAGTGACGACCTGGTAAGAAATGCAGGAAGTCGGTGGATGCAGGTGGCACAGGACCGTGCTTTGTGGCATTCCTTGGGGGAGGCCTATGTTCAGCAGTGGACTTATGAAAGGCTGTAATGATGATGATGATGATGAGATTTCGATTCGACTTTCACAATGAAGTCCCATATCGTGCCACTGTTTACAACTGGTTTAATGAGTTTAAACGTGGTCCCACTAATCGCACCGATGATCTGCGCAAGGGACGGCCTTCTACGACGACGACTGGCGATCACATCAGTGTAGTGCGGCACATGATAGAGACTGACAAAAGAGTGACTTACCAGCAGATTCGGAAAAGCATAGGCATCGTCGGTATGAGTCAAGTGCACAAAATCCTCCATGAACATTTAGCGGTCAGGAAGGTTTGTGCCCGGTGGATACCTCATAATTTGACAGAGGCCCAAAAACTCCGTCGTGTTGATTGGTGTTGTGAAATGGTTCAAAGATTTAACGGAGGTGCTACGATCAACAATACCAATTATTGATCGAGGCGGAGGTGACTCAAATGCTGTGTTCGACATACTTATGGGTGACGAAAGCTGGATTTATTGTCATGATCCTGAAACTAAGAGACAGTCTGCTGTCTGGGTGTTTCCTTCCGAGGAGTTGCCAACTAAAGTGAAGAGAGGTCAAAGCGTGGGAAAAAAGATGGTGGCCTCGTTCTTCGGAAGGCCAAGTTATTACGCAACAGATGTTTTAGAGGATCCAAAAACAGTTACTGCAGAGTGGTACACTAACAATTGTTTGCCACTTGTCTTGGAAAAAGTTCGTGAGAAACGACCTCGCAGTAGGATCCTCCTTCACCACGACAACGCCTCGTCGCACACCGCCAAGTAAACAATCGACTACTTGCCGACGTCAGACGTGGAATTACTTGGACACCCAGCCCCGCCCTATAGCCCTTACGATTATTATTTATTTCCGAAAATAAAAGAAAAACTTCGAGGAAAACGTTTTATGGACGCCGAGGAAGCGTTTCAAAATGTCGTCGAAGAGAACCCATAGGACGAGTGGGCAAAGTGCTTTTCTCAGTGGTTCCATCGGATGCAGCGATGTATTGATATAAATGGACACTATTTTGAAAAGATATAATAAAACTAATAACTTGCTAGTTTGTTCAGTTTTTGATTTTCTAAGAAATTTCAGTGTCACCTTCGTAATGCGACAAAGATACATGATTTTGCTCTTCATTCATCTTTAGGTAGAAATGGACACACTTCGTTCATTACACATAATGTTTGTCAGACTTATATAAGGTTTCATTTACTTCAGATCAGAAAAGGAAACCATAGTTCAAAATTTTCCACTGAAATTTATTTATTTCTTTTTTTTTATTAAATTTTTTATTCTATAGAAGATTCCTACTGTACGAAACCGCAAAACGCGGAATAAGAAACTACTCTATATGACGCACTATATTTGCGGTAGGTGCTATTGTTCGGTCTGGATACGGGTATTCTGTGAGAGCGTGGTACTACCCCGGTCGAGCCGACCCATTCTTGCTACTCGTACAACCATAATAACATAACTGCAGCTTGGCTTGGCTCTGCCACGTGAACTTAAACTAAGTTTGTGCCTGATCTCTTTGGTACGTTTGTTTTATCGTTTTAATATGAACACCGCCATCTATCAAATAGTTGAAGAACTTTTTCAGTAGAAAGTATAAACTGTGTCCTAAGTACCTACCATGAATACGTATAATTTTTGTATTTTGTTAGCTGTACTCAGAAGAGATGGCATTGTAATGATAATATTTCACTAACGGGCTTCTTTGAGTAAATCGACTTTGTTGTAAATTCCTTTGTAATTGTATTCGGGCTTTTCCTTTATTTTATAGGAGACGCAAACGCGTATACGCCACCCTGATGGTAAGTGACTACCGCCGCCCATGAAAAACTGCAACACTAGGGGAACCAGGGTACCTAGTTGCAGATGCGTTACCGGTCATTTAAAAAGGAGTAGGCTCTTTCCTTGATGGTCCCTAAGTCATATCGGTCCTGAAAAATCGCTGGTGGTAATCAATTCCACAAGGAAGTTGTGCGAGGAAGAAACTTCTTCTAAATCGCACAGTGGTGGTCCGCCAATCATCCAGATGGTATAGACGGTAACACGAGTTTTGTCGCGATGTGCAATGGTGAAATTGAGCGACTGGAATTAGTCCGAACAATTCCTCAGAGCACTCCCCGTTATAGACGCGATAAAATACGCAAAGAGATGCAACATCTCTACGCAGTGCCAGTGAGTTCAGCCAATCTGAAAGAATTCGGTGGTCGACGATTCGAACGGCTCTGCGCTTGATACGGTCAAGTGGAAGGAGCTGGCACTGGAGAGCCCCTGCACAGAGATGGGAACAGCATTCCATGTGAGGCCGAACCTGCGCCTTGTAAAGTTGCAGGCGGTGTGCCGGCATGAAATACGGTCCCGCTCTTCTGAGCACGAAAAAAAACCATTATTCTTTCCTTAAAGAATACGATGATGGGAAACAATAAAAAACGAAACAGGAGAAAACCAGGAGCTCGTAATTATGCTGATTAATCAGCGGAAATGTTAGACGTTGCAGCGGATCTCGTGCGGAATAAATTTATTTCGTCATACGAAGCGGAAAAGCAGTTTGGGATCCCGCTTCGGACCATTCTCAATAAATCCAAAAATATTCATAACAAACCATTTGGACGACCCACAGAGTTATCAGCAGAGGAAGAAGCCCACATCGCAGACGTAGTAAAACTTTTTGCTGAATTTGGCTGTCCTTTTACCAATTTAGATTTGCGCATTGTAGTTTACAACTAATTAGTAAAACACAGAAACGATTATCTTTTCAGAGGAAAAATGCCAGGTGAACGTTGGGCCCGTGCTGTTTTACAACGTCACGATTTTTCCCAAAGGGTAACACAAAATATAAAAAGAAGTCGTGCTGCGAAAACAGTAGAGGAAATAAATGAATATTTCAAGAATCTTGAAACTTCACTAATAGATGTTCCTGCCAGCAATATTCTTCATTTCGATGAGACAAATTTCCAACAACAAACCGGGGTCAAAAAAGTGTATTTTTAAAAGAGGTACAAAACACCCGGAAAGGGTTATAAATGCAAGCAAAAGTGCAGTTTCAATAATGTTTAGCGGAACTGCTGATGGCAATTGTCTACCACCCTATGTGGTTTATAAGGCAGATCATTTGTGGTCCAGGTATTGTGAGAATGGATCAAAAAATGCTCGGTATAACCGAACCATATCTGGATGGTTCGATATGATATGTGTTGATGATTGGTTTAAGAGCATAGTTTTGCAAAGGGCTAACTCTCTAGACGGCCTTAAACTTATCATCGGTTTAACTTGGCATCGCACCTAAGTGTCGAGACAATTCAAATATGTCAAAATAAAAACATCAGATTCGTTTTTCTTCCAAAAAATGCTACACACCTCAGCCGCTAGACGTTGCATTTTTTGGAACAATGAAACGAATTTGAAGGGAAATTTTAACAAGTTATAAAATTACATACAACAATACAAACACAATCAATAAATGCCATTTCCCACAGTTACTGCAGGAGCTAATGACTCAAAAAGACATGACAAAAGAGACCAACATACGTAAAGGATTTGAAGGTTCTGGAATATTCCCTTTCAATCCCTCAAGAGTGACATTAAAAATACCAACAGTACAAGAAGAAAATACTCGTCAGTTTGATGCCAGCCTTTTGGAGTTTTTACAGCGAAACAGACGATTACAGCTAATGAAAACAGGCAAAAATAGTAAGCTTACAGTTGTACCTGGTAAATCTATATCAACCGAAGAAGCAGAAGAGCTAGGTAAAGCTACAAAAATTTAGGAGATTACAAGAATAACTAAACGGAAAGAGAAAACTTCAAAATTAACTTCTGATAATAAGAAAATAAAGCATACTGAAACTGAAAGCCCCGGATCAAACGATACCTACGTGCTAGATAAAGGCGCTACCTTGGAAGACAACTCGGCACAATTACGTTATTCGTCGTTGATGCTCCCAAAATCCTGACAGCCTTTGTAGACTTTGCATAGGTGCCATAAACTTTCACTTTAGTGGCAGATTCAAATGACTTCGTGCATTGCTTGTAGAATTTACCAAAGAATTCCAAAATAAACACTCCGTTTTGCGAAGACACACCAGAATGTCTGCAGTTGAAAATAGTTATTGACTCTAAACCATATAAAAACCCAAATAAGAATAAAAAACCTAATAATTACGTCCAATATAATTATAAAAAAGCCTCTCCTGAAAATATAACAGTTTTACGAGATATAGATACACAAATGAATAAAAGAAAGCGAAGACAAGCGAGTACTTCACGAAGACCATCATCTAAAATTAAAAGAAGAAAAGATAAGAAATTTGTGCACCACAGCGACTCAAGCCTGACGTCGGAAACTTCGTTTCTTGCTGCAGACGATTCCGACTATGAAAGTTTTGATAATTACATTGCATCATGTTTGCAAGAACAAGAAGAACAAGAAAACATATGCCCTTTCGAATTGAGTGATATTAATTTTTATGTTGAAGATTATCTTGGACTTCAAGAAAACAGCTGGATAATAGTTAAATTTGCTTCGAAAAAAGTGTTAAACACTTTGTAGGGAAGGTTTTATCAATAAATAATCAAATTCCCAAAGTGAAATTTATACGAAAAGTAAAAAGTTCTAAGTGTGTTAAAGGAACAGTATTCACCTACCCTAACATTGAAGACATATGTGATGTACATGATTTAAAAGATGTTATTGCAGCTATACCTGATCCCCAAATTTCCCGACGATGACATTTCATATTTAATTTAGATTTTGGTAAATGTTATATATGCCATAATTAAAAATGTTATAACATACCAAACTAACAATGAGACGAACATTTTCAATCTTTTTACTATGAGAGTAGTCAAGCTGATTAATTCAGTAATACTATTCCGCTATCGCATTTTGAATAATAATTTTGTAGTTTTGATTGAAATTATTTTATATAATTTTTAATGTTTTGGGTACTTTCTGTGTGTGTTCCAGGTTTTGTTTTTATAATCACGTAACCATAGTTCGTATGTTTATCGTTCGTATATTCGTATTTCCTTTACCTAAATGGTTTAAAACTTACTTACTTTTAATACCTACTTATTAAAACAGTATTTTGTTTAACAAAAATATTTCCGCCTGCACTTTTAGATTTTTTGGAGAGAATCGTGTTTTTTTTTTATATAAGGTGCTTCTAAAAATATGGAGACACGATTTTACATAAACGGGTAGCCATTATTAGGTTGTTTTTCCAATATTTTTTTAGATGTTTGTTTTGTACCAAATATTGTTTCTACGATGTTTCTGAAATTTTAATTACATTGTTAATTTTAATTTTTAGCGAGAAGAAGACAGAATAAGTATGATACCTTATTATACTTATTCAATTGTTAGACTTGTTCATTATTATTAGACTGTTACCCACATAATTTATGATATTTTATTATAATTTTAATAATAATTAAATTAAAACAATAATTGAACTTTCAAACTAACTTAAATATTTTCTGGTAAAGCCATGTTATAAACATTTATTCTTTCTTATATTAATAATTATGAGACATTATTGCCAAAAAGCGTTTGTTATTTTTACTTGTAAGAAGCAATGTGTTTATTTTTTATAAAATAGAAAAATAAAATATTAAAAAAAATTATCTGCATTTTTTTGGGCAACCCTTTGGCACATGAGTAAAGGACCTCTTTACTCTGTGCCTTTGGTATGGAAAGTTTGTAGTACCTGCTACAACATTGCCTATTCGCTGTGAAAAAAGTTATATTTCCCTCGTTTCAATAGTTTAACTGGTGAGGCCTGCACGGTGTCTCATGCACACGAAAAAAATACTGGAAGGATCAATATAATATTTATTGAGATATCCTTCTAGGCAAAGTTACGTCTTTTACGTACAAATTTGCCTACGACTTTAAGTGCTTGTAATTTGGAAGAACAGCATGAATTAAAAATACGTTTAAAACTGGCAAGGCATAAGCTCAGTTTTCGATATAAAGTCCATTAAAAGTTATAATAATAAATTGGTTTAGAGATACGAGCGAAAAACATCAAAATCCGTGCAAAGTTGCAGCATTATACGGTAGTCTAAAATAATATAAAACTACTGTTGTCAACCCGCCTGCCATGCGTGGCAACTATGGCAAATGATGCGTATGGATTTTTGATATGCTGAAATAAATGAATAAATAATGAATACGTTATTTGAAATTATTTATTTTCTTATAAATCAAGTTTGAACTTATAAATTATTTCCTTATTTTTACGTTAAACGTGAAACAGCACGCCTGAGATTCATCCTCTTCGTTCCACAGCTTCATTTTGATTGGGAATTTACCCTGAAAAAAAAAAACTACCTTTAAATATTTATTTTATATTATAATAATTATATTAATATTAAAGGACAACCGACACGTATAAAGCCTGCTAACGAGCACCGTGGCACCCACCGCAGTAACAGTACTTTTAATATTGACTCATGTGTATTGACTCTTTTAGTCGACAAACGAGCTCACTGTTCACCTGAAGGTAAGTAAATACTAAAATCCATTCAAACAAGAATGGTCACAAATGCTTTGTCGCACCTGAGTACTGATATTAAATGCCACATAGCCTAAAATTAGACTTGCTCTCTGACCCTTTAAAATGAAGTACAACAGTGGATTTCAACAATCACCGAACAGATGGGAGTGATGAACTCTCTAACCGACCAAAACGTTACTTATGTAAATTTAACAGCGCGAAATCGCAGTTTCTACGCACTCTGTTGCGGCGCTACAAGCACGAAACAAGTGTTTGTATGGCCTACACATATTCGTAATTGTTTCGGGTCTGGATGTTTGTCCTTGTGCAATTTATGCACGGTATAGTATATATCTATACATATAATAAAACTGTAAATAGCAGATGTCTGTACATTTTATATTTTTGTAATAAAAGTGATTGAGGGGTACTAAAAATAAGTAATTAAATACATTTCTACCATTTTTAGAATTTTCTGTCTGTCTGTCTGTCTGTCTGTTTGTTTGTTAACGTATCACGTATAAAGTACTAATTTATATCATAAGAATTGTTAAGGAAATTATAAAGTGTATCTTCGGGTTACATTTAGTCTTTATTTCATTAAAATCAGTTCATTCTATCAAAAGTTATGATAAATATTCTGAAGTATGGGTAGGGAAGTATAGGTACGAATTTGCTCAACGGTGGCTTTGTTTGAGTCATCAAGTGCATTTTAAACTAATATCATATCATAAATCATAGTTAAATTATGTAAAATAATGATATAATTATGTATATCTAAAACGCAGTAAACAAAAGTATTAAAGAACGTATTAAATATATTATACAAAAATATATTAACCTTATTAACTAACTAATCTGAAGCATAATAGTTAACCCATTTCTTCGATAGATGGTGGTGTTGTGAAAATGTAATGTAATTGCAATGTGGTTTTTTCATGTAGATGAGTTTTCATATTTACTGCTAATCTTTATTATATTACTCGCTGCCCTACTGCGTGTTGACAAACTCAATTTATTCTTTACCGCCGAGTACTCTATGTGGTAAATCAAATTTTAAAAGAGCTATTAACAATTGCGTTGGTTTTGGCGAGAGTCAAACTTTATTTTTTGCTTACTGTGCAGGCACTGATTTATAAGTTCTCTTGCGTTTTATATAATGTATCAATCGCGTCAATTAATCTCTTTTATTTTTAGAATTGATGTTAGCAGCGCCATCTCTCAAATCATACGGGGAACTGAAAATAATTAAATAAGAACATTTTATAATTTTTAGAATTGTCTGTCTGTCTATTTGTCTGTTATTATATGAACGCATCACGTCTAAAGTAAACATCTTTTATTTTCAAAGAAATCGTTAAGAAAATCATAAAGCGTATCTTCGAGTTACATTTAATCTTTGTTTTATTAAAATTGGTTAATTCTATCGAAAGTAATGATTATTATTTTGAAATGTAGGTTCGAATTTGTTCAATGGCGCCATAAAATCTCAGAAATAGTAATAAAAAGATTTGTGTGTAAAAAAAAACGTTCCATAATAATTAATATATTTATACTTAAAACACAAAAAGAGATTTAAAAAGGATGTTTTCTCACACAAAGGACGTAATAGATGGAGTTGTACAAATTACAAACTTTTCTGAATTGCTGTGTTGAGATTTTTCGCCGATGAATCGTATTGAGACTTACTGAAGAAATTTGTAACCATCGAAGCCATACAACGGAACCCGACCGAAAATAAAAATTTTGCAACGAAATGTCGTGATATTGTATTTATAATATACGCAAAATCAGTACTGCCATTTAAGCGCTTTGGTAATGGTAACTAGATTTAGCCCTTTTTTGGAATGTATAGCGCGCATTTCGTAATTTTAGCACCTAGCTTAATCCAGCGCTTTTTGGTGTATTTAGCACACATTTCAATATTTTAGCGACTAGCGGGTTATTAACTCTTTTATAGCAGCACTGTTAGTCTACATTACCGATAATAATAATAATGACCTTTATTATTTTTTCCCACAAATAGTACATTGCAGTTTATCTTTTTCAAACATATTTTTTCCACAAAGCAAAGAGAGCCATGCTGAAGCTATATTAATAGTATAAGTGTAGCACGAATGGGTCGGCTCGACTGGGAAAGGAGCACGCTCTCACAGAATACAAGCGTAAAATAGCAGCTTAATGCTGCTGTGTTTCGTATGGTGAGTGTAGAGAGCCGCGGTGACAACGCATTTTGATTTGTAATAGAGGATAGATGTAGCAGTCTATGGGCCACAGCAATCACTTACCATCAGGTGGACTGTGTGCTCGTTTGTCACCCTTATTCTATAAAAAAAGTAGGTTATTAGAAAGAGGCTACTGCTTCTTCCTAACAACAACATAAACAATAAAAATATAAAACTGCGGTTGTTAACGGACCTGCCAAGCGTCGCAACTATGGCAAATATCTTCGCTATGAGGCAATCTATGGGCGTAGCCTATGTTCAGCAGTGGACGTTTAGACCGAAGAAGCTACCGTTACACGGTAACATAAATTTATGCATATAAAACTCTTCCACGATACAGAAGAAAACTCTATTGTGGGGGTAGTTTTAAGAAACTTACCGGCGACATTTTAGCTAGCGAGAAGTTGATATCAAAGTTCCTCCTCTCCTCCGCCTGCAAGGGACACGTGACCAGACCGCAGCTATCTTCTGGAGTCTTTATTAAACTCTCAAAAGCGCCCGTTTTCTTTTCGTCGCTGTACATGGCCAGCTTGAGAGTCTTCGCTGAAAAATCTGGGGAACCAGAAAGTACAATTTTAAGTCTTTATTTCAGAATCTATGTCACATTTGCTAACGATAGAATGCAGTAAAATGGTGAGAGAAGCGGTTGAAAGAAGCTTTGTGTTCCAGTCAATGTGTCAGTCAGTGGGCATCCGCGACTTTTTCTGACACCAGGGCGGCGTCACTTAAGAAAAATATTTAACAGATTTCATAGCGGGGGAAGTAAATTTATTAGAAAAGTGTTGAGATTAATGTTTCTTTCTTACATATTATTTATTTTTGTATTAATTCAATTAGAAATGTATAAACCAAACTAGTAAAAAAAATAATTAAAAAGTGTAAAATATTGCTGACTACAGCACTGAGTCATTGTATTGTGTTTTGTGTGCATACATTATAAACCAAAAAACTTCACAATAACTCAACTTTACAATGACACTGTGTGACCATCTGCCTAAATAAGTTCACCTCAGTCCCAAATAGCGACATCTGTTGAGAGTAACATTATTAGCCCTCATTTCCAATCACCTAATAAGCGACACATAACTTTTTAAATTTTTTGCTAATAGGTAAAGTAAGTTACGTTCTTAGGGATAACTTTCCCTAAGATCTTGTATAGCATGTAGGTACATACCTTTCACTGCTGGGCTCAAGCTGCTTACCATTGATCAAAACAAAATCGCAGTTGACACTATTTTGTTACTATGCAGGGTTCGGTACAGGCAATGACTGGCAGAGAAAGCCGACAGGCATTAAGTTCGCCCATTATTACCTTCGTTGTAAGGTGTTGCAATAAAGAATAAAAAAATAAATAGATAATCGTAAGAGCCATGGTAGCTCTGCAGCTGCAGCTGCAGCAGCTGAGCGCTTCGTAAATTTCATAGTAAGCGAGTAGCCTAGATCAGGAGTTCATGGAACACTCACCAAATGCCCTTTATTTTATGGAACCTCACATCAAATGATTACATGTCATAGACAATGCAATTGAATTATTATAATTCTCGCTAACTACCTAGATGTCTACATAACAATAATGGGTTCCTCTTATCACATATTTTGCGTCAATTTACAATAATATTACTACCACAATGTGAAATTATTTAACATAAAAATAAATAATTTCGCGGTACCCTGGTGACTTCACCACGGAACCCGCTTTAGGATTCTCTGGCCTAGATGGCATATACTTACACATATCTACCGCCACATAGCAGAGTTTGCATTTGTCTTAGACCTCAGGGGTGAAATCGAATCTGTAGTTTATCATTAAGTTGTCCACAAACTGCGGTGACCACTTGCTAATAAGTGGACTCTAAGTTCGTTTCTCACTTCAGTTTCATAAAAAACACGTGTTCTATCGTACCTCTATAGTGTTGCATGCGACAATTAATGGATAGTACATGACAACACTTGTTACCAATAGCGCCCTCTTGTATCGAGTAGCAGAACTAGAAGAGTTAAGTAGTTTCCAGAACCTTCTACTGTAGAAACTTTCTAGAACTATCGACACCTAGTCAGTACAATAGAAGGTTTTGCATACTATCTGAGGCCTTATATAAGGCCCGTATAGACAGCGACCGAGTTAGTGTTCTATTGGCGATACAAGCGAATACTTCGAAGCAACTACGAACTAAATTGATCAGCATTGTACAATTTTGTTTTATTATTAGTGTGGTTTTAAGTTGTAATTAGTGTTCTGAAATTAAAGTGTCAATTTTGGTGATTCAATCGGCAGCTTTTTAATTATCTCGAACCCCAAGCTCGTAACAATAGAACATCTATTATCTATTACATATAATAAAACTGTAAATAGCAGATGTCTGTACATTTTATATTTTTGTAATAAAAGTGATTGAGGGGTACTAAAAATAAGTAATTAAATACATTTCTACCATTTTTAGAATTTTCTGTCTGTCTGTCTGTCTGTCTGTCTGTCTGTTTGTTTGTTAACGTATCACGTATAAAGTACTAATTTATATCATAAGAATTGTTAAGGAAATTATAAAGTGTATCTTCGGGTTACATTTAGTCTTTATTTCATTAAAATCAGTTCATTCCATCAAAAGTTATGATAAATATTCTGAAGTATGGGTAGGGAAGTATAGGTACGAATTTGCTCAACGGTGGCTTTGTTTGAGTCATCAGGTGCATTTTAAACTAATATCATATCATAAATCATAGTTAAATTATGTAAAATAATGATATAATTATGTATATCTAAAACGCAGTAAACAAAAGTATTAAAAAACGTATTAAATATATTATACAAAAATATATTAACCTTATTAACTAAATCTGAAGCACAATAGTTTTCCCATTTCTTCGATAGATGGTGGTGTTGTGAAAATGTAATGCAATTGCAATGTTTTTTTTTCCTGTAGATGAGTTTTCATATTTACTGCTAATCTTTATTATATTACTCGCTGCCCTACTGCGTGTTGATAAACTCAATTTATTCTTTACCGCCGAGTACTCTATGTGGTAAATCAAATTTTAAAAGAGCTATTAACAAATCGTTGGTTTTGGCGAGAGTCAAACTTTATTTTTTGCTTACTGTGCAGGCACTGATTTATAAGTAGGTACTCTTGCGTTTTATATAATGTATCAATCGCGTCAATTAATCTCTTTTATTTTTAGAATTGATGTTAGCAGCGCCATCTCTCTTCAAATATATACATATAATAAAAATGATGATAACATATTGTGTCTCTTTCTGTACATTGTATAGGTATATATTTTGGTGGCTAAAATAATTATGGGGAACTGAAAATAATTAAATAAGAACATTTTAGAATTTTTAGAATTGTCTGTATGTCCATTTGTCTGTTATTATATGAACGCATCACGTCTAAAGTAAACATCTTTTATTTTCAAAGAAATCGTTAAGAAAATCATAAAGCGTATCTTCGAGTTACATTTAATCTTTGTTTTATTAAAATAGGTTAATTCTATCGAAAGTAATGATTATTATTTTGAAATGTAGGTTCGAATTTGTTCAATGGCGCCATAAAATCTCAGAAATAGTAATAAAAAGATTTGTGTGTAAAAAAAAACGTTCCATAATAATTAATATATTTATACTTAAAACACAAAAAGAGATTTAAAAAGGATGTTTTCTCACACAAAGGACGTAATAGATGGAGTTGTACAAATTACAAACTTTTCTGAATTGCTGTGTTGAGATTTTTCGCCGATGAATCGTATTGAGACTTACTGAAGAAATTTGTATCCATCGCAGCCATACAACGGAATCCGACCAAAAATAAAAATTTTGCAACGAAAAGTCGTGATATTGTATTTATAATATACGCAAAATCAGTACTGCCACTTTAGCGCTTTGGGAACTAGATTTAGCGCTTTTTTGGAATGTATAGCGCGCATTTCGAAATTTTAGCCCTAGCTTAATCCAGCGCTTTTTGGTGTATTTAGCACACATTTCAATATTTTAGCGACTAGCGGGTTGTTAACTCTTTTATAGCAGCACTGTTAGTCCACATTACCGATAATAATAATAATGACCTTTATTATTTTTTCCCACAAATAGTACATTGCAGTTTATCTTTTTCAAACATATTTTTTCCACAAAACAAAGAGCATGGGAGACGAGTCCAAACTGTGCTATGGATCTCCTGGCTTCCCCTTTAGGATGATCAACTTGATTTTTTTACCGACGACTATAAGCGGGGAAACCCCTTTATTAAAGTTTTTGTTCATGGTTTTAGCAACGCATTTATTTTGCTTTATTCAGTTTCAGTCAGTTGCTTAGAGCACAGCTAAGTTAAAAGTTACTTAGAAGTTATAACACAAAGAAACTGTGTAGCAACCGCAATCAGATGCTGACATCTGAAACTAAGCTGCGAAATACATTGCACTTTAAAACAATTAATGACATTTTTATTGTTCGTACAGTACTAACTACTGTTGACAGCAATTGCCATAATTATAAGTCGATGTCCTGCGAAGTATTGATACATCAAAAAAATATTGCCAGAAAAAAAACTTAATGTTGTTTTCTTTATTATGATTATATAAAAAAACACAAACTTTGTTTGTAGTTAATTTAGCGCGAAATCTAGGGCTTTTTTAAAGCGCTGTTTTCATGAAATCTAGCGCTTTTTGTGTTGTCCTAGAGCTGAATTAGTTTTTTTTATCTGGCAGCACTGCCCAAAAACCCTCTATTAAGAAGTAACTTTCCTTTGAGTTTTAAGCGCGTTCAGTTCCCAGTTACAGTGAGCGTGTGTTATGCGATGACCGTAAATAAAGCGCAAGGTCAAACTTTACGCGTTGTAGGAGTGTACCTCAGTACTGACTGTTTTGCACATGGCCAACTCTATGTTGCTTTTTCCCGCGTTAGTAGCCCCCGTAACCTTTTAGTGTACACCCCGGCTAAGCCTACTTCTCACGTCGTTTACACAGAAGCTCTATCATAAACGACTTAGAACTTTGATGATAATGATTTATTTAGTTACCACTTATTGATACAGTAATGAAATAAATCGTTTAATATTCTCTTACCTAAACGACAAATTGTTTATGTAAAACCTGTATACGCGAGCTACGCCGCGGGCACAGCTAGTTATGTAATACAATAGAGTTGGCAACCCTAATTTTGACCGCTAAACATGCTGTCATTCTGTGTTAGTGATATTCATAATAATACAAACGTAATCGTTATTATTTTTAGTACGATAATATCTGTTTGTGTTGGTGTGTGATAGGTCGTTGACTTTTGACTTCTTAAATAGTCGTAATTAATTGGCCAAAGATCTAAGAATACATTTCTTCTTTTGAAGAAATACTTTAAGGGTGACAAATGAGCACACAGTTCACTTGATGGCAAGTGCATGCTGTTGCCCATAAACATCTACATCCATCCTGAATCAAAATCACCACTTACCATCATAGTAGATTAGTAAGCACTGATTTAATTTAAAAAAAATACCTGGAGCCATGCTGCAGCTACATATTCTGTGAGGCGTTGTCCTACCCCGATCGACCTGACCCATTCGTGCCACAACCATAATATAGCTGCAGTGTGGCTCTACATTTTTATGGCAAAGACTAAGTAAGTTTGAGACTGTGCACGTGTTACAAACAACCAAGTTTTAGCGCCTCTTCAAGAACATATTACATATTACTTAAATATGGTGTATACCTTACGTGATAGAGCCATGCTGCAGTTATATAATGGTTGTAGCACGAATCGGTCAGTTCAACCGGGGAAGGACCACGCTTTCACAGCATAGCAGCGTAAAATAGCAGCTTAATACTGCTGTTTTTTGTTTTGAGAGTGTAAAGATCGGGAGGCCCTTTTTACTGGAAACTAGACTTTCCATCTTAGTCCTCAAGGGTGAGTATGTATCTGTATTTTGATTATTAATCGAGGATAGGATTAGATGTCTATGGGCCACAGCATCCACTTACCATCAGGTGGACTGCGTGCTCGTTTGTTTTTGTCACACCCTATTATGTAAAACATACAGGATAGTAATAAATAAAAATAAAATTTGTGATCAAAGCTTACGCGGTGTGAAGTCCACATTGATGGAGTATGACTTCTCTACCTTGATGACACACATACGTGGACTTCGCGGGCAAGGGTCCACCACCACGTTATGTACGCTGCATTGTGATGTGTCCACTGTAAATAAAAAAAGCTAGAATAATTATAGACAATAGATAGAACCTGTGTAAATTCAAAAGCTCGTTTTATACTAAAAAGCCTAAAATAATAGAATAAAATGTTTTGTTTATGTTACATCCTTAATATTGTGTCAAACTGTTGAGGGAACATTGAATGCATCTGAAGCAGAAAAGAAAGTCATTAAATTTTGATTTTCTAATTTTACTTTTTGTTCCTTTTTTCACTTAGAACCTTAATTTCTAAATCAGTAAATAAAGTAATATCTTATATTTACACGAATACTACCCATTTCACTATCCATCCATCCATTACAGCCTATACAAGTCCACTGTTGAACATAGGCCTTCCCCAAGGATTTCGTCTTAGGGGGGATTTTGCCATCGTTGCCACGATTGGCAGGCGAGTTGGCAAACCATATTTTTTTTAATAATTTTGAATTGTTATCAGCAAAAGGCTGCTGCCCATCTCCTGGTTCAGTTTCCCTCTGTCACGTCTTACGACGCCCACGGGACAATATGGGGTAGTGGATATTCTTACACCGTCAATATAACTAATTCAAATTTTACGGATTTTATCACGTTGAAGAATTTCAAGCTTATTCTGCGTTGATCGAACCAAAAATTAAAAAGCTGAAGGTAGCCCGGGCTAACTATGAGATCGGGACGTCAAACATTTCACGCCCGTGACCTTGGGTGCCGTAAAGCTCTTGAACTTTGGGAATAAAAATAAAAATTAATTTAAATTATACGTGATAAAACCGTAATTGAACGTGATAAATTAGTTTTTATTCAATAATATCTCAAAATATATAATAAATATTTTGTGATAACAGTGATTTTTTTATAGGATAAGGGTGACAAACGAGCACACAGTCCACCTGGTGGTAAGTGTTTGCTGTTGTCCATATACATCTACATCTAATTTCGATTACGATTCAAAATGCAGATGCGTTGTCACCCGTGAAGACTAAGATATAATGCCTCGTTTCCAGTAAAACGGGTCTCCGTTTCTCTAAACTCACTATACAAAACACAGCAGCGTTAAGCTGTAATTTTACGCTGGTATTCTGTGAAAGCGTGGTCGTTCCCCGGTCGAGCCGACCCAGTCGTGCTACAACTATACCAGTAATATCTGAAGCAAGGCTCTATCACGTGAAATATCTTTACTATCGGCAAACACGCGCCCTTTCAGAAATTTGACGAGCACTGTACCCATCAGTGGGACGTCTAAAGGTTTTAACAGACTAACTAGCACGTTGTAGTGTCACAGAGTATCGTATTTGGCTGCAGAACGAAGAGTCAGCTCGATTAGGTGATGGACGTGAAGTATTTAATATTTTAATGTAATTAAACATTACCAAAGAGGTTATATATTTAAAAAAAGAAACGAAAGAATGAACTTCTACATTTTGTTAGAGACCTATGTTTATCTGTGGAAATTTGATAGGCTATAATGAATGAATGAATATCAAATATTCATAGTGTAATGTAGGTAGTATTCATAGGTCGCATGAATAAAGGGGACTTAACATACCGACAACAGATAATCAACCGTTACAATCGGGACAGGGCGTTCAGTGCCAGAGATTGGTCGTTGTTACACAAAAAGGAGCCAAGCCACAATACTCGTAGCCTTATATATTTGATACTACTTATTATGTTTGGCATATACCTCATTTCATATTACTAGCTGATATGATTTTAATAAAGTTATTTTAATATATTTTTTAGAGTTATCTATACAAATAAATAAAATTGAAGTGTCTGTTTGTAATGTCAAAATCACAGTTATTTTACTAAATGCATATGAAAGTATATACGGTACTAATAACAAAAATTCAATTATTAAAGTTTTTGTCTGTCTGTCTGCCTGTCTGTCTGTCCGTCTGTCTGTCTGTTTGTTCTGGCTAAGTTCCGAAACGGCTGGACCGATTTTGACGGGATTTTCACTGGCAGATATCTGATGTCACAAGGAGTAACTTAGGCTACTTTTATTTAAGAAAAATAAAATAATTAGGGTTCCGCGCAAAAAAATTAAAACCCCAAATAACACGCGGGCGAAGTCGCGGGGAACAGCTAGTTGACAAATAAATATTCGCCATAATAATATACTAAACAAGAATTCCTCGTTAGTCTAGTGATTTTAAACGCGACTGGTGATCCTGTGGTTCAGGTTTCGACTCATAGTGGGCCAAAATTAGTTATTGGATTTTTCTGTCAAGAAATTCTCTGTCGCAGATCGGACTTGGGAAGTTGGCGGTGTTCCACTCCTGAGCCTCGGAAAGCACGTAAGCCGTTGGACCTGCGTCTTATCTTTCTCTAGTCGTATTGGATACTATCGGACTATGAGTGTGATGGAATAGAAAGTGTACCTGTGCTGCGCATATACTCGGGCACAATAATCCTATGCTGCGCTGATGGCCGTTGAGACTGACCGCCGTGACCGAAATTCAGTCTTGATGACATTATTATACAAAACAACAAATTAATTTGCAGTTTGTGATCATAGCTACGGCCCCCGTCATTACATTAGATTTGATAAACCACAAATTCTCGCGGAAAAACAGATTCCTGCCAAGGATGACACATAAGGCTATTGAAATTAAAAAACATCCTAATTTCAATAGAGAGAGAGGCTGGGCACTACCTCCTGCTTGGGATCCTATAATTAATAAAATTAAAAGTAAACCCAAGCATACCACTGCAAGAGTTCAAGACACAGTAAGTTCATTCTGCGTAGATCGGACCAAAATAAATAATTAAAAAAGCCGAAGGTAACTCTGACATCTGGGCATCAATCACCTCAGTCCCCCGTGACCATGGGTGCTGTAAAGTACCCGAAATGTTGGGAATCAATAAAAATACAAGTTAATTAGACGCGATGGAATCCGTAAAAGTAGATTTATTCAACCCATTTTAAGACTAAAGATACTTTAGTACCAATATTCATTTTTAAGCGATTTTAAAAAGTAGAAGGTTTTTCAATTCGACTGTACCTATGATATTTTTGTATGTGTATGTTTTTTTTTATTAAGTAGGTTATACTTCAAGAATACTGATATGGGAGCTCTATATACATTTGGAGAGAAAATGCAAATTTGAAAGTACAAAATTGGCTAAAGTTTCGGTTGGCTCATTTCTGCGTAAACACATCCAATTGTAAAAGGAAATAAAAATAGTATTTTATATCCTAGTTACAACAGTGTAAACTGAGTCTTAACAAGTGCAAATGCTTACTTACCATCTTTACAGTTTTTTTTGGTGACAAAATCAGATTTAGCGAGGAGGAAACACAACGAAACGAGAATGATGCGAGCGTCCATCTTTGGTCCGTATCTGCGCGCTACTGCGGCGCAGTTATCTTCTTTACTGCAACAATCACTTATTATTAATACAAGTTGTGCTCTTTGAATAGGGTTGAGATTTTAAAAATAACCGAATAACTGTTCGTATGCGAGTTGCAATATAATACTGATAACAATTATTTACTACAGACGCATATTTCTTTTATGTAATAAGGGTGACAAACGAGCACACAGTCTAACTGATTGTAAGTGGAAGCTGTGGCACATAGACATCTATATGTATCCTCGATTAACGATCAAACTGCAGATGCGTTGTCACTCTTGAGGACTAAGATGGTACTCGTATCCAGTAAAGAGGATCTCTGGTTTTCTATACTCATTATACGAAACACAGCAGAATTAAGCTTCTATTTAATGCTGACGTTTTGTGAGAGGGAGGTCCTTCCCCGGTCGAGCCGACCCATTTGTGTTACAACCGTAACAGGCTCTGAAAACCACGTGAAAGCATATCCCATAGCGGTAATGCCGAAACAGACCGACTCATCGACCACGTCCAAATGGCTACAGATTCCTTGCTACAACAAGTCCCATCCGCAGAGATCGTGATCCTTGGCGATTTTAACGCCCACCACGCCGAATGGCTCGGTTCACGTTGAACCGATCATGCGGGTAGATCTGTTTATGACTTTGCCTTGGCATATGGTCTGACACAACTGGTTAATTCGCCCACGCGGATTCCAGATGTGGAGGATCATATACCTTCCCTGTAGGACCTTCTGCTGACCTCTCATCCGGACGGATATCAGGTTTCTGTCGATGCTCCTTTCGGTTCTTCGGACCATTGTCTGATCCGGAGTGTGGTGCCACCCATGCTCCCCTCGCGGTTGCGTTCTGCAGGTTGCCGCCGTGTTTGGTATTACGGGTCGGGGGATTGGGACGGAATGCGGTCTTTCTTTGCATCCTACACATGGGGGCGGGTTTGCTTCTCACCGGATGATCCCAGCACTGTTGCTGACTCTGTCACTGACGTGGTGCTACAGGGAATGGAACTATTTATTCTATTATCTGTGGTACCCATCGGAGGCAGGTCTCAGCCTTGCTGTGGTCGCTCCTGTAAGACTGCATTACGCAGTAAGCAGGAGTGTTATCAAGCCTGGGCTGCGGCTTCGGCGACTAGGGATGTAAACACCAGCACAATTAAAAATAAGTATAACTTCGCCTCCAGGTCCTTCAAAAGAGTTATTGCCAAGGCAAAGTCAGAGCACATAGGCAGAATTGGTGAGAAACTAGTTCGCCTTCCTTCTGGAACCCGTGCATTCTGGTCTCTCGCCAAGGCTGTCCAAGGGAATTTCTGTAAGCCATCACTACCATCTCTGCATAGGGAGGACGACTCACTGGCCCACGCCGCAAAGAGAAAGCCGACCTTTTAGGCTCCCTATTTGCGTCCAACTCGACTCTTGATGACGGGGAGAACACACCGCCGACCATCCCGCGGTGTGAGTGCTCCATGCCGGATGTGCGGTTCTTACAGCGCTCGGTTCGCTAAGCACTCCTCTCCCTGGACATCCACAATTCGAGTGAGCCTGACGGGATCCCCCCAATTGTGCTGAGGACGTATGCTCCGGAGTTGGCACCGGTTCTAACGCGTCTTTTCCGGTACTTCTAATCCCTAGGCATAGCATGGAAGACAGCTTTTGTCCACCCGATCTCTAAAAAGGGTGACCGCTCAGACCCGTCCAACTACAGGTCTATCGCCATCACCCCCTTGTTCTCCAAAATAATGGAATCCATTATTAACTGCCAGCTCATGCGGTACTTTGAGGATCACCAGCTGATTAGTGACTGCCAATACGGTTTTCGTCGAGGTCGATCAGCTGGTGATCTTCTGGTCTACCTGACTCATAGATGGGTGGAGGCAGTGGAGTCCAAGTGGGAGGCGTTGGCCGTTAGTTTGGACATTGCGAAAGTCTTCGATCGGGCTTGGCACAAAGCGCTTCTTTCGAAGCTCCCTTCCTATGGGCTTCCCGAGAAATTGTGCAATTGGATCACCAGCTTCCTTGCCGAACGGAGCATCAAGGTCGTTATAGACGGGGCATGCTCCGCCTACAAGCCTATTAACGCTGGTGTTCCACAAGGCTGTGTGCTATCACCAACGCTGTTTCTTCTACATATCAGTGATATGTTGCTAACTGGTTACATTCATTGCTATGCGGATGATACCACTGGTGATGTTTTATATACCGGCCGTGCCAATATTTCTCGGGAAAACGTCGCCGAGTGCAAGAATAAACTTGTGTCTGAAGTCGAGTCTTTGCTGAACAGTCTCGGATTGGGGGCGACTAAATCTAGTCCAGTTTAATCCTCAGAAGACACAAGTTTGCGTGTTTACCGCTAAAAGGAACCCCTTTGTCGTATGTCCTCAGTTTCAAGGCACTCCCCTTCTTGCAAGAAGGGGTCTTGCCTCTGCTAGTATCGGAATCCTCGTAGTCGACATATCGAGTGACGTGCAGTTTCGTGGTTACTTGGAAGAAAAGGCCAAATTGGCTTCTAAGAGCTTGGCGTGCTCAGCAGAGCGGGACTATATTTCATGCCGGCACAGCCTGCAACTTTACAAGGTGCAGGTTTGGCCTCACATGGAATACTGGTCCCATCTCTGGGCAGGGGTTCCCCAGTGCCAGCTCCTTCCGCTTGACCGCATCCAAAGCAGAGCGGCTCGAATCGTCGACGATCGAGTCCATTCCGCTCGGCTTGATTCATTGGCACTGCGAAGAGATGTTGCATCCCTTTGCATTTTATTTCGCATTTACCACGGGGAGTGCTCTGAGGAATTGTTCCCAGCCGCCATATTTTATGAACGCACATTGCATAACTCCCGATACCATCCACACCATCTGGATGATTGGCGGTCCACCACTGTGCGAATTAGAAGATGTTTTCTTCCTCGTACAACTTCCTTGTGGAATCGATTACCATCAGCGATTTTTCCGGACCGATACGACTTAGGGACCTTCAAGAAAAGAGCCTACTCCTTTTTAAAAGGCCGGCAACGCATCTGCAATTCCCCTGGTTCCCCTGGTGTTGCAGTTGTTCATGGGCGGCGGTAGTCACTTACCATCAGGTGAGCCGCATGCTCGTTTGCCCCCTCTCCTATAAAAAAAATCAGTACAGTTATACAATATTATATTATATGTATTAAAACTGCCACGTATGTCTTTGACTGCCTCATTGGTTAGGGCTCATAAACACGAGGGCTGATCATAAAGTCCCAAGTTTGAATCCCGGATCTTACTAAAATCAGTCATTGGAATTTTCAATCAATTTAAAGAAGATAGCGGTGTTTTACCCCTCGTGACTCGGAAAGCATGTAAAACCGATGGTCCTGCGCCTGATCCCTCTACGGTCATGTCGGATTACCGTAACATCGGACTATGAGAGTGAGGGCATAGAGTTCATCTGTGCTTGTGTCTACACTCGTGCACTGTAATCCTATTCTGCGCAGATGGCTAGTCTCCGTTGAGACTGGAAGCCGTGACTGAAATTCGGTCTGGACATTATTATATTATGTGAAAAATATTTTTTTAATTTTGTTCTTTACAAAATATAGTTATTTAATAACATCCGACACTACAAATAAACTTACAAAAGTTTTACCATGTACCGCCGATTCGTAACTTCGATCATGTTCAATGGGTTCGCGTTGCGACAACTTATTTAATGACGTATATAAAATGGTGTGACAAAACAGCAAAATGATTTTTTTTAACTAGGTGTGTACCATAGCAAAGCATATGCACTCTGATATATATTAGAGTAAGGAATTCCATCACCTTAACCAGTTCCGTGGGTTTCGTAAGAGGCGATAAACGGGTAAATGGATTTGGATACTGCCTCTATAACCTTCAGACTCTGGAACACAGCAGTGTGTACATTGCTGCTTGGTGGCAAAACTAAGGTAAAGGGCCCATTATTTCTTATTAGTTTGTGGTGGTACTTTCTAAAGTGACTCCTATGCAAAAAATGGAGTTTTACCGCTAGACCTAGATTAAAACCTGCACTTAATGAGATATAAATGTGAATTCTCACTTCACAAGGCATTCCTTAAAATCTTTAAACAAGTGTGGCGGGTGGAAGGAAAAGGGGAGATCCGCCGGTTAAGGTGTTCAGCCCGGGGAGCGGCCAACGCTCTGAGTGGTAGTTTTTTTTTGCGCCCAAAAGCAATGTATAGAGCTACCCTCCGGGAAGCGGGGGAGGGAGACGGTGAATGCTCATAGCATACCACGCAGTCGGCTGCGTGGTTATGTGGGACTCACTAAGAAGTGCCTACCTACTAGACACCACCTGTGGGACTGGCTCTGGCCTGTATGGCGTCTTCGCCGCAACGGTAGCGACCCCCCCTTAGGGAAGGGGCGCGCGGGGCATTACCGTACGGGGACGGAAGTGCGGCCAACTAACACAGCCGCACGGGGGCGGCGGTGCCAGAGGAGTGAAGATGTGGGAGTCGCATGAGCGAGAATGCACTCACCGTACGGGGACGGTGAGCACGGTCTGCTAACGGAACCGCACGGGGGCGGCGGCGCTAGCGGGGAAGGGAAGGCACTCACCGAACCCCGTACAGTGAGCGCGGGCACCTAACACCACCGTACGGGGGCGGCGGCGCTAGCGGAGCCGGGGAGGCACTCACCGTATGGGGACGGTTAGTGTGGATAGCTAACACAACCGCATGGGGACGGCGGCACTAGCTGAGGCGGGACGGGACGGGACTGACGTTCTATTGTTCGACTGAACCAACCGGGGAATACCCGTACGGGGACGGGTGCTCGGTCAGCTAGCGGACCTCGCTAGCGCACGACCGCACGGTGGCGACGGCGCTAGCGGAATGTGACACGTAGTAGTTCGGAGCTATTCTATATGCTTTTACTTCGGAACTTTGACAGCGCGATTTAGGCTTCAATGTATTTTCGCTTGTGGCGCGACGACAGCGCCCTCACAAGTCTATAATTAATACGTATTAGCAGTGA